GTACTTGATCACACTATGTAAGTGGATGTTTGGGGTTGGGTTCCGGTTTCAATTAACCGCCAAGCTGAATGTGAATGGTCTAACTCTGCCATAGCAACGATAATAAATAAGCACTCAAGTATTCCAATAAGGAATAGCAAATGGTAATTTAGCCTCTTTATGAACAAGGCGATTAACTTACTATAATAGCAGGTCAAGCATAGGCAACAATGTAAGTTAGGTGAGAGAAGTCTCAGGAGGTTGGGAGTCAGGACGACAAAGAGGTTTGTGGACACAAGCGACCACTGAGAATCCACCATAACACCTATTCAAGCACGTTCAATAATTAGAAAAAGTGCAAAGGTGTTGCAACAAGACAAGTCCCATGAGCTACGGGGATTGTCCTATGAAGATAAGGTTGAGGGAAATCGGCCTGACGACACTGGAGGACAGAGTTGTCATGGAGACATGATAACGACAAATAAAATACAGCGCGGAATAGTACTAAGATGACAAAGACGGGATGTTCCAGAGATGGGACATAGACACAAGAGGTCACAATTGGAAGTTGAAGACTCAGATGAATCAAAGGGATGTTAGGAAGTATTTCTTCAGTCATAGAGTAGTCAGGCCATGAAATAGCCTAGAAAGTGATGTAGTGGAGGCAGGAACCATACATAGTTTTAAGGCGAGGTATGATAGAGCTCATGGGGCAGGGAGAGAGAGGACCTAGTAGCAATCAGCGAAGAGGCGGGGCCAGGAGCTGTGACTCGACCCCTGCAACCACAAATAGGTGAGTACACACACACACACACACAGACCAGCTTCCATAATACTTTCTTTTTTTTTTTTTAAGAAAAACATTCACAAATTACAAAGAGTGACACAAAGAATGGGTGTGGTGCGTCTTGAGTGTTTCATGGACGGGTCTCCTGGACCCGGTCTTCTCCATCTCAAACTTGTACTCATTTCACTGCGCCTCGACGACAGTGGTGCACTCTAACATACAGTGAAAATCAAGGCACACTCACAAAATATTTCAGAAACGTAATGTAAGTTTAAAGTCTGTTGTTCTTAATAAATAAATAGAGCTAACAAAACTCGTTTATATATATATATATATATATATATATATATATATATATATATATATATATATATATATATATATATATATATATATATATATAATGGATTCCAATACACTTCGTGGTATCAGTAAGTGCACTTGGAGACATCAAAGAGTGCACTCAGAGTGCATTAGATGCACCAGAGTGCATTCAGAGGCACAAGAGTGCACACCACAGACTCCTGGGGGAACTGTTGCATATAGTCTACTAATCCTATTAGAGAGGATGCAATGCCTCTCCCGCGCGGAGGAGGCATTCAATCCTCTGGGGGGAAGAGGCTTCAGAGACTTAAGAGGGAAGCAAGAGGTTTAAGAGGGTTGAATGAGGTTAAGGGGAGTTAGGAAGAGGCAGGGAAGTAATGGGTAACGAGTCACATAGAAGCTGGTACATGGTGAATCATTTTTTCCATTGTCTTCCGTTTTAAGTTGTTTTCCTCTTCCTCTTCTTTATCTTCCCCTTCCTCTTCTTTATCTTCCTCTTCCTCGGCTCAAAAGATCGAGCGTCATTTAGAAAGTCTGAGCAAAAGAAAGTTTTATAGTTTGAAAGAAAAAAGTTAACTGACTTTTTTTGTCTCGATCTTGGTGGCTCAGCCAGCCAACTCTTACCCCCCTATTACTACTACTACTGATACTACTGCTACCACTACTACTACTAATACTACTACTACTGCTGCTGCAACTACTACTACTACTACTACTACTACTACTACTGATACTACTGCTACCACTACTACTACTACTGCTACTACTAATACTACTACTACTGCTGCTGCAACTACTACTACTACTACTCATACTACTGCTACCACTACTACTACTGCTGCTACTGCTGCTACTACTAATACTACTACTGCTGCTGCTGCAACTACTACTACTACTACTATACTACTACTCATACTACTGCTACCACTACTACTACTGCTGCTACTGCTGCTACTACTAATACTACTACTGCTGCTGCTGCTGCAACTACTACTACTACTACTATACTACTACTCATACTACTGCTACCACTACTACTACTGCTGCTACTGCTGCTACTACTAATACTACTACTACTGCTGCTGCTCCAACTACTACTACTACTATACTACTACTCATACTACTGCTACCACTACTACTACTGCTGCTACTACTAATACTACTGCTGCTGCTGCTACTACTACTACTACTACTGCTGCTGCTGCTGCTGCTGCAACTACTACTATACTACTACTGATAATACTGCTACCACTACTACTACTGCTGCTACTACTAATACTAATACTGCTGCTGCTGCAACTACTACTACTACTACTATACTACTACTCATACTACTGCTACAACTACTACTACTGCTGCTACTGCTACCACTACTACTACTGCTGCTACTGCTACCACTACTACTACTGCTGCTACTGCTACCACTACTACTGCTCCTGCTGCAACTACTACTACTACTACTATACTACTACTATACTACTGCTACCACTACTACTACTGCTGCTACTGCTGCTACTACTACTACTACTACTACTACTACTACTACTACTACTACTGCTACTACTACTACTACTGCTATACTACTGCTCATACTACTGCTACCACTACTACTACTGCTACCACTACTACTACTGCTGCTACTGCTAATACTACTGCTCTGCTCCTGCTGCAACTACTACTACTATACTACTACTATACTACTGCTACCACTACTACTACTGCTGCTACTGCTGCTACTACTACTACTACTACTACTACTACTACTGCTGCTGCTACTACTACTACTGCTGCTACTACTACTACTACTAATAATAATAATGTACTGCTACTCTACTACTACTACTACTACTGCTGCTACTACTACTATTAAGCTACTGCTGCTGCTACTACTCTACTACTACTACTACTGCTACTACTACTACTATCACCATTATCACTGTTAGGTAAGACACATATGCAACAGTTAGACAACTTTATTCCGAAACGTTTTGCCTACACAGTAGGCTTCTTCAGTCGAATACAGAAAATAGGCAGGAACAGTAGAGATGTGAAGACGATGTAATCAGTCCATCACCCTTGTAGTCGTAGAATTTGAGGTTGTCAGTCCCTCGGCCTGGAGAAGTTCAGTTCCATAGTCATGGAACTGAACTTCTCCAGGCTGAGGGACTGACAACCTCAAATTCTACGACTACAAGGGTGATGGACTGATTACATCGTCTTCACATCTCTACTGTTCCTGCCTACTTTCTGTATTCGACTGAAGAAGCCTACTGTGTAGGCGAAACGTTTCGGAATAAAGTTGTCTAACTGTTGCATGTGTCTTACCTAACAACCTGTCGGTATTGTATACCATTTTGATGTTCACCATCATCACTACTATTACTACTACTAATAATAATAATACTCATATTAATGTCAAGCAGATTACTATTTTCTTCGTCACAGGTGCTCTATAAAAGAGAATATGCAACAATTTACAAGTTATACTGATATATACGAGGCTGATGATCTGTATAAACAAATGCTGGGTTAACAGGCTGCTGAAATTGGAAATAAGCCTCAATATTAATAACAAATTAGGATAGCCATTTTTTTTAACTAACCGAAAGCTTGTAGGATGATCAGGCAAGGTCCTGTGTCAGTTTTGTACTTGTAAAATAAATCTAAGACAGTAATTTAAGTGGATTCAAAACTATTTTCTAACAGATTTTAAGTAAGGATAGGCTACAAATGCGTTTTACGCTATAATGCGTAAAACCTCGGAATGGTGGGGTTTTGAAACCCTGGCGAGGGGGGTTAGCAAGCTAACATCTCTGTGGTGCATAAAAATACCAAGCTGGATGAAATCTTATTGGTTAACACAATGGCCTGGAGTTGTACGACTCACTCGGAATAGGTTCAAATCCCACCCGTTCCCCTGGTTTCTTTTCGATCGTCTTATTAGGATTTCGTGAGCTACAATGTGCAACTTACCGGGGTCTTTGTTAATTATAGAAGACTCTATAATTGCTATTGTTTGGTTATGCTTAATTATGGTATTTGGAGGCATTTTGGCTTTTATGTACGTTGTTATGAACAATTTTTGTATCAGAGAATATAATTAACAATTTCCATGTTATATATTAGAAATACATTATGCATTCAATATCTAAATACAACAAAATTTAATATATTAAGCTCGGTAATTGTTATGGGACAGGGAGTGGAAGAGATAAAAGTGTATAGAATATTTGAGAAGATGCACCACCCTGGGAGGGGAGGTGGTAGCTCAGTAACTGTGCGAAAGGCAGTGATGGACGAAACATGAGACATGGTGGTGCGTCGCTCTGCCTGGCTCCGTAATCAGGTTAGGAGAGGCGCAGGGGTGTTGTGGTTGGCGAACCATGTATGTATACAGCAGCTGGGTGGGTAGCTACCTGGTTACCTATTGTATTGCTGCTGTATCAAACATCTTGTACATCAGGTGTTGGTATTTTAGTCATGTTTTATGTTGAGGAGGGTTGAATACAGCCTTGTTTATAAGTAGTGATGTGCACCAGGATGTTGATGTTTACTGATGTGTTGATGTTATTGATGTGTTAATGTTGCTTAGTGATGAATTCATGTGTTGATGTTATTTACTGATGTGTTGATGTTTACTGATGTGTTGATGGTTATAAATTTAATGTTGTTTACTGATGTGCTGTTTAATAATGTGTTGTTTACTGATGTGCTGTTTAATAATGTGTTTACTGATGTGTTGTTGTTTGCTAATGTATTTACTGATTTGATGTTGCTTACTGTGTTGAAGTTTACTAATGTATTGATACTCTTCAGAGATGTGTTGATGTTGTTTACTGATGTGGTGATATTGTTTAGAGATGTAGTGATGGGTTTCAGTGATATGTCTGATCCAAGAAACTGGAGTTACCCTTCCCTCCCCTGGGTCAAGACCATAACTTGCCCCCGTGACGGGTGTGCAGTGCTTACCTTGGAGCTTCGCTGTTTGAGTAACCTCTTGAGCACGGCCAGCGGCTGGTCACACTTGTCTTCCAGGTGCTCAATGGTGAGAGGCAGGTCCTTGGGCAGGTGCTCACGCGGGTAGGTGAAGTGGAAGCTCACTTTCTCGCCCAGGAAAGGGAAGCAGGTGACCAGGTAGGTGAGGTAGGCGCGGGCTATGGCGTACTCCACGTCTGGGGTAAACACCGCCACAGACATAGGTGCTCTCCAGTACCTGGCTACCTGTAGTTACACATGACATAGGGATCAATGTTAATGTGCAACGGGTGGGAACAAGGTTTGTGCAACGGCAGGTAACAGTTGTATTGCAATGACAGAAACAGCGTTGTTCTTCAGAAACTGCAAAGAACACTGCTAAAAAATATTAGGACTCTCTCTCTCCCTCCCACAGAGCTAAGTTGCAAGACTGTCTCAGTCAATGAGGTTCCTGCCACAGGCGGAAATGCGGCAAGAGTGCGAAAAGAAGCAACAAAAAAGTCGACCAGAGCGCGGAAGGTTGTGAGGGAAGAGTGTGAGCAAGACTGCGTCAGGAGTGAAATAGCTCAGAAAAGTACCTAAGAGTTTCTTAAAGCAGGTAGGAAAGCGTGAGACGTTGAAAAGCCTCTCTTTCTCTCTCTCCAGATTTAAGGCTGAATGATTACAAATATATTATATATATATATATATATATATATATATATATATATATATATATATATATATATATATATATATATATATTATATAATATATATGTGTGTGTATGTATATATATATATATATAATATATATATATATATATGTGTGTGTGTGTATGTATATATATATATATATATATATATATATGTATATATATATATATATATATATATATATATATGTATATATATATATATATATATATATATATTATATATATATATATATATATATATATATATATATATATATCTTCAGCTCTACAGCGCCTTGCTTCAGCTCTACAGCGCCTTGTTTCAGCTCTACAGCGCCTTGTTTCAGCTCTACAGCGCCTTGTCTCAGCTCTACAGCGCCTTGATGCTAATCTCTCTCGCTCTATATACATTTTTCCACTTCATAAGCTACAGAAAAAATGCCATTATTCAGAAATTATAAATATATGCAAATGGCTCCAGGCTGGACCAGGCGGGATGAATATATGTAAATCACCTCTGAATCTCTTCTAAATCACCCCTGAATCTCTTCTAAATCACCCCTGAATCTCTTCTAAATCACCCCTGAATCTCTTCTAAATCACCCCTGAATCTCTTCTAAATCACCCCTGAATCTCTTCAAAATCACCCATAAATCTCTTCTAAATTTCCTCTGAATCTCTTCTAAATCACTCCTGAATATTTTCTTAGTCACTTCTGAATCTTCTAAATCACCCCTGAATCTCTTCTAAACTACTCCTGAATTCTTTTAAATCACTCCTGAATTCTTCTAAATCACTCCTGAATCTCTTCTAAATCGCCCCTAAATCTCTTCTAAATCGCCCCTAAATCTCTTCTAAATCACCCCTTCTCTTAAGTGCACCCTTTCCAATTCTGGATCAGAAGAGAGAGGAGAGAGAGAGAGAGAGAGAGAGAGAGAGAGAGAGAGAGAGAGACAGAGAGAGAGAGAGAGAGAGAGAGAGAGAGAGAGAGAGAGAGAGAGAGAGAGAGAGAGAGAGAGAGAGAGAGAGGTACTTTACCACTCACCTGCTTGACAGACATATAAAGAGACGTTGACTGTCTAGAGAACTTCGCTAATTGAATTTCCCGACACGACGAAATAGGGTCCCTTTCTCAGTGGAAATAGGGACCTTTTCTCAGTGGAAATAGGGACCCTTTCTCAGTGGAAATAGGGACCCTTTGTCAAAAAAATAGGGACCCCGTTTCTGTGGAAATGGGGACCCTTGCTCGGTTAAAATAGGTATCCTCATTATCAGTGTATATATGGACTTTCTCAGCGGAAACAGGTATCTATATATAAAATTAATAGATTATTATTATTACTGTTATTATTATTATTATTAATCTTGAGAGTAACTACATAATATTAATTTTACTGGCCTATGGCCGGGCTCCCAAAGTAGCAAGATTCTCGAAACTCATCAAAGGTATATTAACTCATCAAAGGTATATTAACTCATCAAAGGTATATTAACTCTTCAAAGGTATATTAACTCATCAAAGGTATATTAACTCATCAAAGGTATATTAACTCATCAAAGGGATTTCAGCTTCTGCTCAATATATGTCTGTGTTTTAGACATTTCTGGTTTTGTTCAATATATCTTTGTTTTAGACATTTCAGTTTCTATTCAATACATACCTGTTTTAGACATTTCTATCTGTGTTCACTATGTCTCTGTGGTGTAACAGTAATACGATATTTCTGATCAGAATACGTAAATAACCAGCCAGTGGTGTACCACCAGAAGTATTGCAGATAATAGTTGCCAACTGGCGCTCTTAAACAAAATATTATTACCCAACACATCTGCAACTGTAATGTCCTTGCCATATTATTTACAGTTTATTTTAACCATTTTCCGCACAATTGCTTCCCAAACGATTTTTATATATAGAAATAGTGACATGAAGGTATGTAGGCAACCCATTATATGAATGCACTTTGTTTACAAGGGACTCTCTCGTGATTGGCTGGAGCTCAGCCATACGCAGTCGATATAGATGAAATGGGACTTCTGATTGGTGGGCAGTATTCTGCTTCCCTATTAGCCGAGACTTTCAATATCAGGTACGAGAATTAATGAGTCTGATATTATGAGTCTCTACAGCAAGGGAAAATATAACAAATATAGTTATATGTCCTTTGAAAGGGCCAGTTTTTACATTAAAATGTCAAAGTGATGAAGACTAACCTCTATAACAAACAGTAATTACGGCTAAATTCTCTTGCCTCTACCAGTAAAGGAAATTCTGGCAACTATACACTATAGGGTTGCCAGCTATGTTAATTTTTTTTTAACTGGCCAAACAGGATACATGATTTAGGTCGAAAACTAATATAACTAATCTCCCCCCTCCTCTCCCCCCAAAAAAAGGATAGATTAATTAGTGTATCCCACAAAATTCTGGTAGGGGATTCAATTATATGCTTATTTAAACCTCCGCACGCCGTTTTAAATTGCTTTGTGCAGTGTAAATAGCGTTTAACGTGTAATAACCAGGGTTCTCTCCAACAATGAACGACCCACCGCTAGTCCTAACACAGGATATTAACTGCCACGTTTTTAACTAGATATTTTGTATCCTTTGTTACTGCTAGTTTAGAGGGCTGCTATTTCATTACTACTAGTAGAGGTTTTCTGGGTCATTACTAGGTCAACAGATTGCTTCTATGGTAAGACTTCCATTTTTCTGAATAGTAGGTTGCTAGTTTTTACTAATTAAACAGACTGCTAATTCATTACTACTAGTTTCGTGAGTTCTAGTTCATTACCACTAGTTTCGTGAGTTTCTAGTTCATTACTACTAGTTTCGTGAGTTTCTAGTTCATTACTGCTAGTTTCGCGAGTTTCTAATTCATTACTACTAGTCTCGCGAGTTTCTAGTTCATAACCACTAGTTTCGTGAGTTTCTAGTTCATTACTACTAGTTTCGTGAGTTTCTAGTTCATTACTACTAGTTTCGTGAGTAACTATTCATTACCACTAGCTTCGTGAGTTTCTAATTCATTACTGCTAGTTTCGCGAGTTTCTAGTTCATAACCACTAGTTTCGTGAGTTTCTAGTTCATTACCACTAGTTTCGTGAGTAACTATTCATTACCACTAGCTTCGTGAGTTTCTAATTCATTACTGCTAGTTTCGTGAGTTTCTAGTTCATAACCACTAGTTTCGTGAGTTTCTAGTTCATAACCACTAGTTTCGTGAGTTTCTAGTTCATTACCACTAGTTTCGTGAGTTTCTAGTTCATAACCACTAGTTTCGTGAGTTTCTAGTTCATTACCACTAGTTTCGTGAGTAACTATCTCATTACCACAAGTTTAACAAACGGCTAGTTCATTAGTAACGGCTAAAAGCGAGGCTAAACGCATCTGTGTTTTAAAACTAAATAACGGAATATAATACCCAGTATTAAAACACCGTGTTATATAAACAGCTTTGTAGTATACCAGATTATGTAAAAGAGAGAGAGAGAGAGAGAGAGAGAGAGAGAGAGAATCTTGCCTGCTCTATCCCCTTGACATCCAGAGCCACACCACTACAACCACACTTTATGGACATTTAACACACTTCACGGCTCATATAAACTCAGATCCGGCCACGGCAGGTACATGGTACGCCCACATGTGCATTAGGTGGTGTCACCTGTGTTACTACTAAAGCTAGCTAAAGCTCTCTCTTCACACGATGAGTGTCCGGGTTCGATTCCCGGCGAGGGTAGAAACATTGGGCGTGTTTCCTTACACTGGTTGTCTATGTCCACCCATCAGTAAAATGGGTACCTGCGTGTTAGTTGACTGGTGTGGGTCGTATCCTGGGACAAAATTGACCTAATTTGCCTGATATATAGGTGACATCATTGACATACTACTTATGTAGAAAGCCGTTTGCTCAGCATAACAAACGGCTTTCTACATAGTAGTATGTCAATGATGTCACCTATGGTCTGTATACCTTATTATTATTATATTATGTAAGTCACGTAGAGTCACTCGTAAATCGCCTACGGCCAGCAGTGTGTAATATAACCTTCACTAATAGCCACTTAAAGCTGTACAGCCTCCCCATGTAGCTCTTGAAGCACATATGGTGACATACCTGTGTAAGCCAGAAGAGTCTGTCTACGGAAGTCTGTGTAGCCAGACAGACAGGGGAAGCTCGGGTAAGTCTGGTATACTGAGGACCTGTGAACACGTGGTCGTGAGTCTTGTAACGTCTTCGAGCGTCCCACCGTCCCATCACCTCGTCCACCACGAAACCAGCACCCATCACCACCCCTTCAGTGTCCTTCTGCTTCCCTTCACCGTCGCCGCCGGCAGTAGGGTCAGTGTTGATAGCTGCAGAGCGTAGGAAGGCCAGGTACTCCGTGTGGTTGGTGGAGGAGAGCGCAGAGGTCCACGAGTGTGGCACAACCTCGGGGATAACCACCCCACCACACCCGCCGCCAACGCCCACGTCCTCACGCCCATGCATCAGTCGGAGCGTCAGCAGGATGTTGCTAGTAGTGAGGGCTACGATGCTGAACATGCCCACACCCCACACCTTGCATAGCATCTGTAACACGTAAATAAAAACCCGTGGGTTAGCAAATCTGATGTTCGCGTCCCTCATAAAGTTGAGAGATTTAAGGAAAGTAAGTTTATTCAGGTACAGGTACACATAAATACAGTTACATAAATTATCATACATAGCAGCAAATGTGTAGATTACCCAGGATAACTCCAAAAAAGTCGGACAAAGTGACTTATTTCCATTGGGGTCTTTGTAATATCTTACTATTTAACCCTTACAAGTTAAAATATTAAGTAACGCAACTGTGTGAAAATCAGTCAAAATAAAAGGATATACTAGGAGTAATGTAAACTCAGTTATTTACATTCACCTTAAAGAGAGGATCAGATCACAGTAATAGGTACATGTATGTTACAGTAATAGGTACATGTGTGTTTCAGTAATAGGCACAAGTATGTTAGCCATACAAATCACTCTCCTCCTGGCCTGTAGCGAGTGCTTCACAGGTCAAGGTAACACCAACACACTTCCCACACTCTCCTCCCGGCCTGTAGCGAGTGCTTCACAGGTCAAGGTAACACCAACACACTTCCCGCACTCTCCTCCCGGCCTGTAGCGAGTGCTTCAAAGGTCAAGGTAACACCAACACACTTCCCGCACTCTCCTCCCGGCCTGTAGCGAGTGCTTCACAGGTCAAGGTAACACCAACACACTTCCCGCACTCTCCTCCCGGCCTGTAGCGAGTGCTTCACAGGTCACGGTAACACCAACACACTTCCCACACTCTCCTCCCGGCCTGTAGCGAGTGCTTCACAGGTCAAGGTAACACCAACACACTTCCCGCACTCTCCTCCCGGCCTGTAGCGAGTGCTTCACAGGTCAAGGTAACACCAACACACTTCCCGCACTCTCCTCCCGGCCTGTAGCGAGTGCTTCACAGGTCACGGTAACACCAACACACTTCCCACACTCTCCTCCCGGCCTGTAGCAAGTGCTTCACAGGTCACGGTAACACCAACACACTTCCCACACTCTCCTCCCGGCCTGTAGCGAGTGCTTCACAGGTCAAGGTAACACCAACACACTTCCCGCACTCTCCTCCCGGCCTGTAGCGAGTGCTTCACAGGTCACGGTAACACCAACACACTTCCCACACTCTCCTCCCGGCCTGTAGCGAGTGCTTCACAGGTCAAGGTAACACCAACACACTTCCCGCACTCTCCTCCGGCCTGTAGCGAGTGCTTCACAGGTCAAGGTAACACCAACACACTTCCCGCACTCTCCTCCCGGCCTGTAGCGAGTGCTTCACACATCAGGGTAACACCAACACACTTCCCACACTCTCCTCCCGGCCTGTAGCGAGTGCTTCACAGGTCACGGTAACACCAACACACTTCCCACACTCTCCTCCCGGCCTGTAGCGAGTGCTTCACACATCAGGGTAACACCAACACACTTCCCACACTCTCCTCCCGGCCTGTAGCGAGTGCTTCACAGGTCACGGTAACACCAACACACTTCCCGCACTCTCCTCCCGGCCTGTAGCGAGTGCTTCACACATCAGGGTAACACCAACACACTTCCCACACTCTCCTCCCGGCCTGTAGCGAGTGCTTCACAGGTCACGGTAACACCAACACACTTCCCACACTCTCCTCCCGGCCTGTAGCGAGTGCTTCACAGGTCACGGTAACACCAACACACTTCCCACACTCTCCTCCCGGCCTGTAGCGAGTGCTTCACAGGTCACGGTAACACCAACACACTTCCCGCACTCTCCTCCCGGCTGTAGCGAGTGCTTCACAGGTCACGGTAACACCAACACACTTCCCGCACTCTCCTCCCGGCCTGTAGCGAGTGCTTCACAGGTCACGGTAACACCAACACACTTCCCACACTCTCCTCCCGGCCTGTAGCGAGTGCTTCACAGGTCAAGGTAACACCAACACACTTCCCGCACTCTCCTCCCGGCCTGTAGCGAGTGCTTCACAGGTCACGGTAACACCAACACATTTCCCCACACTCTCCTCCCGGCCTGTAGCGAGTGCTTCACAGGTCACGGTAACACCAACACACTTCCCACACTCTCCTCCCGGCCTGTAGCGAGTGCTTCACAGGTCACGGTAACACCAACACACTTCCCGCACTCTCCTCCGGCCTGTAGCGAGTGCTTCCACAGGTCACGGTAACACCAACACACTTCCCGCACTCTCCTCCCGGCCTGTAGCGAGTGCTTCACACATCAGGGTAACACCAACACACTTCCCACACTCTCCTCCCGGCCTGTAGCGAGTGCTTCACAGGTCACGGTAACACCAACACACTTCCCGCACTCTCCTCCCGGCCTGTAGCGAGTGCTTCACAGTCACGGTAACACCAACACACTTCCCGCACTCTCCTCCCGGCCTGTAGCGAGTGCTTCACACATCAGGGTAACACAACACACTTCCCACACTCTCCTCCCGGCCTGTAGCGAGTGCTTCACAGGTCACGGTAACACCAACACACTTCCCACACTCTCCTCCCGGCCTGTAGCGAGTGCTTCACACATCAGGGTAACACCAACACACTTCCCACACTCTCCTCCCGGCCTGTAGCGAGTGCTTCACAGGTCAACGTAACACCAACACACTTCCCACACTCTCCTCCGGCCTGTAGCGAGTGCTTCACAGGTCACGGTAACACCAACACACTTCCCACACTCTCCTCCCGGCCTGTAGCGAGTGCTTCACACATCAGGGTAACACCAACACACTTCCCACACTCTCCTCCCGGCCTGTAGCGAGTGCTTCACACATCAGGGTAACACCAACACACTTCCCACACTCTCCTCCCGGCCTGTAGCGAGTGCTTCACACATCAGGGTAACACCAACACACTTCCACACTCTCTCCCGGCCTGTAGCGAGTGCTTCACAGGTCACGGTAACACCAACACACTTCCCACACTCTCCTCCCGGCCTGTAGCGAGTGCTTCACAGGTCACGGTAACACCAACACACTTCCCACACTCTCCTCCCGGCCTGTAGCGAGTGCTTCACACATCAGGGTAACACCAACACACTTCCCACACTCTCCTCCCGGCCTGTAGCGAGTGCTTCACAGGTCACGGTAACACCAACACACTTCCCACACTCTCCTCCCGGCCTGTAGCGAGTGCTTCACACATCAGGGTAACACCAACACACTTCCCACACTCTCCTCCCGGCCTGTAGCGAGTGCTTCACACATCAGGGTAACACCAACACACTTCCCACACTCTCCTCCCGGCCTGTAGCGAGTGCTTCACACATCAGGGTAACACCAACACACTACCCACACTCACATTTTTCATTAAAATTATATAAGTTGAATTCCAATATTTCATAAATCACAAAACGTTCTCCCCTCCGGTAATAATTATATAATTTTTGAATTTATTCGAAGTTAAAATAATACTTGAAGTCTGGACTTATTTAAGAAATGAAATGAGATGTGTATGCATATATATATATATATATATATATATATATATATATATATATATATATATATATATATATATATATATATTACACACACACACACACACGTACTGAGACTGGCAACAGACCACAACAGAGTCAAATAAGAAACAGTTAAACGCGAAGAAAAATGATCTCAAAGTGTTTTTCTCTGAGTGGAAGAGAGGGAGGGGGGGTCGAGGAAGAGGGCACAGAGGAAGAGAGGAGGAGGAATGGGGAGCAGGGAGAGAGGGGTGGAAGGGAGAAGAGAGAGAGAGAGTGAGAGTACGGAATTAATTGAAGAAGACGTAGAGACCGTCTGTGGAAGATGGAAAAAGAATTTGATGTCAAGATAACGAAGAATTATAGAGGACAGAAGGAGCTGTGAAAGAGAGAGAGACTGTGGCACATACAGGTTCTCCACGAGACGTCCTCCTCTATGCCTTCCCCCACCTCACTCAGAGTACCACTTAACACCAACTCCCTCCCCCCCCCCCCCGTCATTCCTAAGGACTTACTAGTACCCCCCTCCCTTACCTCTCTCAACGAATTTCAGACACGGAAGACAGGTCTTTACGTCGGGAGAGGAGGAGGGGTTTCAAGGGGTCTTTTGGAGGGTCTAAGAACCTCCAACATGGTTCCAGGACCTGCCCTGGGTCTCAGGACCTGCCCTAGGTCCTGGGACCTCACAACATGGTCCCAGAACCTGCCCTGGGTCCTGGGACCTCGGGACCTCATAAGAAGCACAGACTAATCACTTGCAATCAGAGTGAGAGGCGGTAGAAGTTTGGATAAAAGTTGAGCGAGTGAAGAATGGATAAAAACGTTTGAGAGAGATGGTGGGGTGATGGGGAGGAGTGATTCAGAGATGATAGGAAGGGGTAATTCAGAGATGATAGGAAGGGGTAATTCAGAGACGATAGGAAGGGGTAATACAGAAATGATGGTAAGTGGTGATTCAGACAGATGATAGGAAGGGGTGATTGAGATAGATGATGAGAAGGAGTTGTAACAGCACTAGTCTTTGGTAAACAAAACAGACTTGCCTACACGGTTGCCTCACCAGAGTACGCTAGTCAACTCCTGTCTTCAATAAATAATAAAAATACCACAACACAAGTAACATGTAAATGGTCCAAGTCAGACCGAAACGTCGTCGTAGGCTCCTCTCTCTCTCCTCTATGCGGGTTATTTGTGTATCCTGCCTTCCATGGCAGCCAGGCTGTGATAGGTCCTGCCTTCCATGGCAGCCAGGCTGTGATAGGTCCTGCCTTCCATAGCAGCCAAGCGGTGATAGGTCCTGCCTTCCATAGCAGCCAAGCGGTGATAGGTCCTCCCTTCCACAGCAGCCAAGCGGTGATAGGTCCTGCCTTCCATAGCAGCCAAGCGGTGATAGGTCCTGCCTTCCATAGCAGCCAAGCGGTGATAGGTCCTCCCTTCCACAGCAGCCAAGCGGTGATAGGTCCTGCCTTCCATAGCAGCCAAGCGGTGATAGGTCCTGCCTTCCACAACAGCCAAGCGGTGATAGGTCCTGCCTTCCATAGCAGCCAAGCGGTGATAG